CTTGAATTATGTCCTATAGACTTCATGCCAAGGGCCTTACACTACTGCAGAACTAATTGCTGCTCTCGGAGCGCCAGGGCGCGTGTGCGCGGTCTGAGCGCACGCAGCGCTGTCCAGCGCGGCCACACCGGCACGGCCGAAAGAACTGACGCACAGCACTAGACAACTAAAACACAGCATTGATAACTGCGTCCACTGGTCACCCGCCCCGAGGGCAAACCTGAAGCGTCAGGGACGCACGAACCACACCCTGGCCAGCGGGGCTGGCCAGGCGACATTCCTAGCGCGCAACGATACTCTATAGGCACTTATTTGCCGTGCGGTAATCGCTGTACAGCTGTGCGTCTGGCGCTCCGAGGGGACTGCCTAATCACCAGGTCTCCAACTGGGCCGAGCCTGCCGCCTATAAACGAGGGACACTGAGGGCGGGGGGGGAAGTGAGAGCAACAATAATAAGCTCCAATAGTGTAGGCAGAATGCCGGAACTATGGAGCTGTAAGCTGAAATAGCAAATTCGAAATCTCAGCAAGCCATACGGCTGCCGTACATAACCTAGCTTAGAGGCTATACTCGCTTTGCTCCTGCCGCATCTAAGCTACAACACCTTCTAGGTGGGCAAGCCAACTTCTAGGTGGGCAAGTCAACGTGTCCAACAGGTAGCAGCTTCCTGTTGAGATACTATTTCGAAGCTCCTGCTCAGAGAGTAGGCGGGCCTAAGCGAGGTTAAGGTTTATTTCCTGGTGTCCTCGGTAATCGACATATGGAAAAGGTAGGCGCATAAGCGGCATTTTCTTTTAATGTTTAGTGTTTAATATGTTTGTTTGTCGATAAAAAGAGTATACAAGCAAAAAGAGTATACATACCAACACTACTGTTAGGCAAAAATTAACAGTTCGGCGGCCTTTGGCGGGCTTCGGCGGGCCAGGCAGCTACTAGGGTACTTCCCCGAAGGTACCGCCATATCTTTGTTTGCAGGTCTCCATCAGGCTACCGAAACATTGCAGTGCGTCCCGGCTATCGGTCTGTCCCGCTCCTCTGAGCTGCTTTCCGAGCAAAGCGGCAACTGTGTCAGACAGCTATTCATTGGAGAGCTTGTGATATCGTGTATCATAGCATGTTCCCTTAATTGTATTTATGCAGGATTCGTGAAATGACAAGTCGGGTGTCGGCTTCCTCGAAGCCGGAAAAAAGGTATCCGTACAGGCCGGTAGCTAGCGCGGCACGTGTGGCAATTGATGGGTAGTGTCAACGCGGTGGGAGATGTGCTTTGTTGCAGCAGTGCTGATGGTGTGGGAGCTAAGCTTGCACCAGCGGAATTGTCAGCACCGCCTGCGGGCTCCACGCGAATCGCATCCATCCCGGGTGCATGCCGCATGGACAGTGTGGCAGACCGAAAGTCGGAATGCCCGTGCGGGCAAATGGTAACGAAAGCTGGGTGAATTTCGGTGCTGTCTGTGATGTTTATCCCCGAATCCGCCCCGAATCCGCCCCTCAGCCGCGAGCTTCATTGCGGCACACCGCAAATCTCCGGAGGCCCCGACCATTGGCTAAAGTAAATGTACAAATGAGCAGCTTGCGTATTTCATAGAGAAATGTAAGCAAATTTGTCGGCCTGCTGGTGGCAAGTCGGAATGCCCGTGCGGGCAAATGGTAACACAAGCTGGGTGTACAAGTTATCATACGCTGTCATCTCAGAATTCAAATATGAGATACGCGGTACCTTTTGAGATTAAATTTAGCCCGAGAGGCGTTGATGTGGCTTTGGCCTCGGTCAATTGAGGCAGCCAAAGTCATTTGTGTTCATTTGTGCTCATACGATTTTTGTTGGCTACAGGCGAGATACCTTGCGATAGAGAATGCTTTATAGTACCAATAACGCGTTTCAGC